CCAGTATCCTATATAATTAAGTAAAGAAATAACAAATTTTAGAGCAAAACTCGTGGAAAGTCATGCAGTGATCCGTTGATTCCAATATAAAAAAAACGATTTTTTCGGTATACTTAAAAACAATAAATAAGCGGCGATACTGATACGTATTACGTATTCGTTTTTTTAAGGACATTCATTTAATCCTTTGAAACATTGCATTATTAACGAGCGATGTGCTTAAGAAGTTAATAGTTTGTTGCACTCGGGGTACCTTGTTTTTTCAATACGTTTGTTTCCTATTGCCGATTTGTTTTCCGTGCGTTAGCTCTGGGACATACTGTAACGAGGATGAATACTGTGTCGTGACACATCGCGTGGCAGACATTCGCGTCGCTGGGCTTGTTGACGTTCGCACGCATTGCGTGCCTATTGCAACTTTGAATCAAAACAAGCGATCTTGGGCGACGCCCAAATAATAAGACGCGCAACAAGCGCTTAGCGACCGGGCGTCGGATTCGAAGTAAGAAGAGCTTCGTGTATTCATACAACTAAATTTTATGCCCTGGAGGTGAGGAAACTCCCATATCGATTCATGATCATGTCGTGAGTATTTTTTTATTACATGTTTTTTTTATTTTGTTCCGTTATTTGAATTTTCTATGTCGACTATATGGGTATCAAATTTCGCGAGAATGTTTATTTGCGGAATCTTTAATTTCGAATTTTTTTTTTACAATCGCGCAAAACGTTTAAGACCCACATAATTAAGTGCCAGTACGGTATAAATAAATAAGAGGTAGTTTCATTAGAAAATGAAACACGGCCTTACATCATATCAGGTTACTCTAAAGAGGAAGATAGATAAATAGCTACCGAGAAAAAAGTTAAAATATTTTTTAAAAAAGTCTTTAAAAGCAATTTCCTTCTCTTGACTGTTTAGTTTCTTAGCGTTTGGACCGCAAGGGAGAAACCACAATCAGCGACAAAATTAGTTGAGACACTTTTCCCTAAAGGACCTTTCTGCCGTTTTACTGACTCTAAAAGGACAAAATAAAGCTTTCCTTCTCTCATCTCCCCCATGCAATGTTGCGTCGCTGTTCGAGCTGCCTTGTGGCTCGAAATTTACCACAAGGCACCTGTAGAAAACAACAAATACCCCAGCTTTGAATGGAAGAAAGAGGGGAGGGGTGTGAATTGTTTTGTTCTCTCAAGAGAGAATAGTTCTCTGAAGTTACCCACGGGTACACTGCTCAAACAATTTTGTCAGCGATTGCAGCTCAAATACTTCAGTTTGAGATATTCTTGACTGTTTAGAGTCAAAAATGAGTTTTCTGAGTCTTTTGCCGTGAGTAGATATGAGCAAAAAACAACGCGTAGGTTACTATGACCAGAACAATGTAAGAGACAAATGAGTCCTCACCAAAAGTCTACTACCGAGCCGGCCTCAGCCTCTGTTTCAAAGCGAGGCTAAGTGCAAAGCCATTGATATGAAAATGTTTTTTTATTCTCATGTACATAAAACTCATTTTCAGAAGAAAACTGGGATTTACACTTTTTCTGAACTGGTATAGTGTATGGCTTCCTTCTTCTTATTGTCACACTGAGATCAGTGAGACGGCATGGAATACTATTTCTGGTTGACTCCAGGGGTTTTCCTTTAGAAAATATTACAAATTTAACTACGAAAGAGAGAGAATACATGAAAGAGAAATATTGTGAAGCGAAAAATTGTGTATGTGTGTAACAGTTTATAAATTGCCAAGTAGCAGTTTTATTTTCGATCGGATGTCATCAAACACATTTTCTTTAAATAAAATATTCTTGCGTCATATTCTTTTGTTTATATCATTTTCTTGAATTGTTACGAATAAAACATATTTTTAGGCAGAATGTCATCACACACATTTTCTTAAAATAAAATTAACCTATTGCGTCGTGTCCTTTTGATCACATGATTTGCCAAAGTCTTTATAATCAGTTGACGCCCCTTTCATATGATCATATGAAGATACGACTGAGTGACACGCAACAGAGAAGTTTTTCCCCCGTGAAAATACAGGTAGGCTAAATCTGATCAATTACATCGTTTATTTAGTGAAAGGTTTTCTTACCTGTAACAAGCATATGATATTGTTCAATGACATGTTATTTGTGCACTTTCTAAACAAGCCACACTATAATTAGTGATTTCGAAAAGTTTCCTGTTGTTTTTATCGCTTTTGTGCGATTCCCGTGAGTGCATTGATAGGGTCAGAAACTAACGTAAGGTATTTTAATTAACAATTAATTGAACTGTTTTTGAAAAACCTTCTTCATTATCTTCGTACTTCTAAGTCGCAATATCTTCAGCACAATTTTTTCTCTACCAGAAGCAATTGTCTGATGTAGTTCGTTTTTTCCCCATTTAGCAAAAAAAAAAAAAAAGAGAGAGAGAGAGAGAGAGAGAAAGAGCCCATGCGGATTTCTTTAAGACGGTCATTCCACCTAAGACAGACTTTCCATCCTTGACTTGTGGTCCTTTAGCACAAATTTTAAAACTCGTCCTTAATTAGCCGGGTCCACTAAAGACAAGCTTCTTAATTCAAATGGTTTTCCTTCTCGAAAACTGAATCAGTTCAGCAAATAGACCTTCGCTTAATCCTCGCAATTCAATTTTCTTGCCATTCAAAACATTCTATTAATTTTTTCGATTTTTTTTATAACGGTAGTTCTTATTTTATTTATCAGAAGTGCGAACAAAGCTTTTACCACAGCAAGTTTCAGGGGGTATTCCCGGTTTAAAGTGACGTGGATGTTCGAATGGGAGCAAAAATCAAAAGCCCAAAAAATCCCTGGACCAAAAATTCCCCCCCCCCCCCCAAAAAAAAAAAACCCATACACAATTACGCGGCCGGAATAAGCAGGCAAACCACGAATAACAATTTTCAGTTAAATCCAACCATCCGACAAAATTTTTGCCAAATTTTCCTTAGCTACCCCAAGAAATCTTTCGATCAAACCCGTCACTTGAAATCCAGAGTACTACTCGGGTTTCGATCCACCCCAATTTCGAAAATCGAGAGTTTTGCTTATGACGTACCTCATAACAGCAAAACAGATTGTCGAATACGAAGCTTAATTGGAGAGACCTACAAGTAAAACGGAAACAACCATGAATAGGAAAAGAATCAAGTATCCTGTATCTTTTGGAAACCGAAATACACTCAACTCGAAAACGAAGACCCTCAACTCCGGTGAAAGGGCCTGCAATCAACTAAAATGGGTCAGTTAATTTGAAGTGTGACCATCCCCTTTAGGCATTTGCGTTGCCTCTAGGCTCTTTTGCCCACTGCGCCGTGAGGCATTTGGAATCAAACGTCTGTCTCGGGGAGGGGAGAGTATTGTAGAGTGTTACATTTTATCGCCTTACATTGAGAAAGTTTGCGGCATTATTGTGTTTGCCAAATTTCCATGCGGTACTTCTGTAATTGTGGTCTTGAATTCTGATATTGTGGTATATCTAAACATGCGGAATTTTTTGTAATTGGCTCGGCGATTTTTAGCATGGTTGTGTCCAATTTTTCGATTTTTCATTGCAGTGTTACGGTGTTCGGTATACCCCTAGCCGCTCTTCAACTTTTTTTTGCGCATGCGTATACTTCTGCTACAAGACCGGCTTTGATAGTGTGATACCGTGACCAGTTGCGGTTTTAGAAAGGTGTACACTTTTAGTGCCAAACAATATTCCCATGATAATTTGTTATGCGGTTAAACCCATCAACAGGAAAAATTACCAAGGCATTTATAATAACGGATGCTGAAATCCTATGGTGCAGCCACAGCACCTTCACATCGTACCGTTAATTATTATAATTATTATAACCATCATATTATTATTATTATTATTACTATTTGAAAAGTTTATTTAATTGTTAATCCAATCTTAAGTTTTTGTAGTTTTCAAAGTAAGAAAAGTGTTGTTGTTGATGTGGTCATAGCAGCCAAACATCTTTAAGTAGCAAACCGAATTTATATACTTAACAGTGTTTTTATCACGAATTTTCATCAACAAAGTATTACCAATAACGAAACCTGTTCCAAATTATGACGATTATCCCATTAAGTTCTTTAAAGCTAAAAGTAAACTTTACCGAATTTCACTTCCGCCAAAAAGAAACAATATGTTTATAAGGATTATTGCTGCAATTGACTCCTGGTACTGTAACTCCCTGCTGCTGCTAAGTCGATTAACTAGGGTAACAAAAAATAACTGCAAAAATCGTCGCTCTGAATCTGAAACTGAATCAGCTACCGACATTGTCGAAAAGTGAGTTCGCAATAGTTGGTTACTAGCGTGGCCTGAGCGACAGGGCTACTGAATTCTGGAAAGAAGTTTCATGCCTTGATTGAAAGCACAACAAAAAACTGAATCAGATTACGTGTCCGGTTGGTTGAAAATTACTTCACACATTTCTTAACTGCCTGCCACATGATTTTGATTGATTTGTTCAGTCAATAAAAGTTTTATACTAATGTGAGTTTACCACTAGCAAAATGAATGGTTGTTTTGGTAACAGTGCTTATACAAGTAAAGTTAATATTAATTTAAAGCTTTTTACTGATTTTTCCAGGTCAAACCATTATGGCACAGAGTGGAAACGGAGCAGCATGTGAGAGTGATCTTACATCACTTGGTACAGGACAAGAGCTGAATTTTGATGATAACACACTGAAAGGTAAAGATTCTTACAACTGTTAATAGTGTATAACCAAAAGGCCTCTAATATAGCAAACTAAGGACAAATGAAATAAAATTTAAAAAAAGACAAAAGACCGTCATTTGAAAACATTCAACATACGGAAGTGGTTAAAGAGTCAAAGTCGACAGTATCTCTACTAAATGTGGGTTTTTCATTTTTTTTTTAATCTAAATTAGGCTTTTCGTAGAATTTCTTTTCGAGTTTATCACTTGTGGCATAATGAATGGTTGTTTTGGTACTAGTGCTTTATATACAAGTAAAGATAGTGTCAATTTACAGCGTTATACTAATTTTTCCAGATCAAACCATTATGGCACAGAGTGGAAACGGAGCAGTAAGAGAGAGTGATGTTACATCACATATTACCGGACAAGAGCTGAACTTTGACGATGACACACTAAAAGGTAAAGATTCTTACAACTGTTAATAGTGTATCACAAAAGGCCTCTAATATAGCAAACTAAGGACAGCTGACATAAAATATACAAAAAAGGCAAAAAACCGGCATTTGAAATTATTCAACAAACGGAAGTGGTTAAAGAGGCAAAGTCGTTAAACAGTATCTCTACTGAAGGTGTTTTTTTCATTTTTTATCTAGATTAGGCTTTTCGTAGAATTTGTGGTCGACTTTATCACTTGTGGCATAATGAATGGCTGTTTTGGTACTAGTGCTTTATATACAAGTGAAGATAATGTCAATTTATAGCTTTATACTGATTTTCCAGATCAAACCATTATGGCACAGAGTGGAAACGGAACAGCATGTGAGAGTGATGTTACATCACATGGTACCGGACAAGAGCTGAACTTTGATGATGACACACTAAAAGGCAAAGATTCTTACAACTGTTAATAGTGTATCACCAAAAGGCATTTAATGTAGCAAACTAAGGACAGATAACATAAAATATACAAAAAAGGCAAAAAACCGTCATTTGAAATTATTCAACAAACGGAAGTGGTTAAAGCGGCAAAGTCGTTAAACAGTATCTCTACTGAAGGTGTTTTTTACATTTTTTTTTTTTATCTAGATTAGCCTTTTCGTAGAATTTGTGATCGAGTTTATCACTTGTGGCATAATGAATGGTTGTTTTGGTACTAGTGCTTTATATACAAGTAAAGATAGTGTCAACTTACAGCTTTATACTGATTTCTCCAGATCAAACTATTATGGTACAGAGTGGAAACGGAGCAGCAAGTGAGAGTGATGTTACATCACTTGGTACCGGACAAGAGCTGAACTTTGATGATGACACACTGAAAGGTAAAGATTCTTACAACTGTTTATAGTGTATCGCCAAAAGGCTTTTAACATGAGAAATTTATGGAGAAATGAAATAAAAGATACAGAAAGGAAAAAACCGTCATTTGATAACATTCAACATTTGATACATGAAGACTGAAAGTAGTTAAACATTATCTCCACTGATTTTTTTTTTATCTAATATTAGTTAATACTAGTTAATAGTAGTTAATATTAATTTAAAGCTTTTTACTGATTTTTCCAGATCAAACCATTATGGCACAGAGGGGAAACGGAGCAGCATGTGAGAGTGATGTTACATCACATGGTACCGGACAAGAGCTGAATTTTGATGATGACACACTGAAAGGTAAAGATTTTTACAACTGTTAATAGTGTATCACAAAAAGTCCTCTAATATAGCAAACTAAGGACAAACGAAATAAAATTTAAAAAAAGACAAAAAACCGTCATTTGAAAACATTCAACATACGGAAGTGGTTAAAGAGTCAAAGTCGACAGTATCTCTACTGAAGGTGTTTTTTTTTTAAATTTTTTATCTAGATTAGGCTTTTTGTAGAATTTGTGGTCGAGTTTATCACTTGTGGCATAATGAATGGTTGTTTTGTTACTAGTGCTTTATATACAAGTGAAGATAATGTCAATTTATAGCTTTATACTGATTTTCCAGATCAAACCATTATGACACAGAGTGGAAACGGAGCAGCAAGTGAGAGTGATGTTACGTCACTTGGTACCGGACAAGAGCTGAACTTTGATGATGACACACTGAAAGGTAAAGTTTCTTACAACTGTTAATAGTGTATCACCAAAAGGCCTTTAACATGAGAAATTTAAGGAGAAATGAAATAAAAGATACAGAAAGGAAAAAGCCGTCATTTGATAACATTTAACATTTGATACATGAAGACTGAAAGTAGTTAAACATTATCTCCACTGAAGGTGATTTTTATTTTTTTTCTAATATTAGTTAAGACTAATTAATAGTAGTTAATATTAATTTAAAGCTTTTTGCCGATTTTTCCAGATCAAACCATTATGGCACAGGGTGGAAAGGGAGCAGCATGTGAGAGTGATGTTACATCACTTGGTACCGGACAAGGGCTGAATTTTGATGATAACACAGTGAAAGGTAAAGATTCTTACTACTGCTAATAGTGTATCACCAAAAGACCTTTAATATAGCAAACTAACGACAAAAAAATAAAATATACAAAACTGACAAAAAATCGTCATTTGAAAACATTGAACATACGGAAGTGGTTAAAGAGTCAAAGTCGTTAAACAGTATCTCTACTGAAGGTGGTTTTTTTCATTTTTTATCTAGATTAGGCTTTTCGTAGAATCAGTTGTGGTCGATTGTACCTCTTGTAGCAAAATGAATGGCTGTTTTGTTACTAGTGCTTTATATACAAGTGAAGATAATGTCAATTCATAGCTTTATACTGATTTTTCCAGGTCAAACCATTATGGCACAGAGTGGAAACGGAGCAGCAAGTGAGGGTGATGTAACATCACTTAGTACCGGACAAGAACTGAACTTTGATGATGACACACTGAAAGGTAAAGATTCTTACAACGGTTAATAGCGTATCACCAAAAGGCCTTTAACATAAAAATTTAAGGAGAAATGAAATAAAAGATACAGAAAGGAAAAAAACCGTCATTTGATAAGATTCAACATACATAAAGACGGAAAGTCGTTAAACATTATCTCCACTAAAGGTGGTTTTTATTTTTTATCTAGATTAAATAAACTTTTTCTAAAATTTGTGATTGACGAATTCCTTTACTGTATTGCTGATTCACCGTCACATATAGCCCTGCATTAGCTCCCGCCAAGTATGATTCCTATTTTCCCGCCAACCCGAAAGATGCACACGCACCGCATAACGGTTTATTAGTGTGAGCTACAACTTTAATGCATTTTCAGCATTTTTAGTATTTTTAACATCAGAAAGTGAGGAACGGAACGACCAAATTTGCCCCTATTTCACAAGTCTGTAACTAATGTCATGATCACCGACATCGGATGAGTTAACAAGTGACAGCATTAATTTTGTCTAAAGGAGGAATAAATGATCTCTGTCGTATTTTTGGTTTTAATCTGTAGCAAAGAGACGAAGATTGAAATGAACACACAAAAAAATTGCACACGATAGTCTGTATTGTACTCTTACCTTTTGTACCCACAATTATAATTTACCATTTTATTTTTTTATACTATAGCAAGTTTCGTTCCCAAGGGGTATTCCGGATTTCAAGAGACGTGGATAACCGAATGGGGGCAAAAATCAAAACCCCAACCTTCACTGCACCAAAAATTATCTCCCCGAAAAAATCCTATACAGAGCTGCTCACCAACAATATTATTCAGTTAAAATCAAGCCAATTGAGAAAATACTTGCCAAATGTTTCCTATCCCAAAAGAATCCCGGAATTGAAAATTTTAAACCCAAAAAATTCTTTTATCATCGCCATCACTTGAAATCCGAAGTACCTCCACTGGGGTTTCGTTCCACCCTAAATTTCTTATTCGAAAGTTTTGCTTATCACGTACTTCATAACCGCAAAACAGATTGTCGAATACGAAGCAGAATCAGAGAGACCTATAAGTAAAAAGGAAAGAATCAAGAATGGAAAAAACAAACAAGTACCCTGTATTTTTTTGGAAACCGAAATACACTCAACTCGAAAACGAAGAACCCTCAACGCCGGTGAAAGGGTGTGCAATAAACCAAATGGGTCCGTAAATTTGAAGTGTGACCATCCCCTTTGGGTATTTGCGTTGCCTCGACGTACTCGTACCCATTGTTGGGTATTTGGAATCAAATGTTTTGGCTCGGGGAGGGGAGAGTATAGTAGAGGTTTACATTTTTAGCGCCTTACATTGAGAAAGTTTGCGGTATTGTGGTGTTTGGCAAATTTTCATGCGGTACTTATGTAATTGTGGCCTTGAATTCTGATATTGTGGTATTTCTAAACATGCCGAAGTTTTTGTGATTGGCTCGGGGATTTTTAGCATGGTTGTGTCGAATTTCTCGATTTCTCTTTGCAGTGTTACGGTGTTCCGTATACCCCTTGCCGCTCTTCAATGTTTTTTTTTTTTTTGCGCATGCGTATACTTCTGCCAAAAGACCAGCTTTGATCGGTTTTAGAAAGGTTTACCAAACAATATTCCCATGATAATTTGTTATGCGTTTGAACCCATCAACAGAAAAAATTACCAAGGCATTTATAATAACGGATGCTGAAATCCTATGGTGCAACCACAGCACCTTCACATTTTACCATTTATTATTATAATTATTATAACTATTATATTATTATTATTACTATTTGAAAAGGTTATTTTAGTGTTAATCCAATCTTAAGTTTTTGAAGTTTGGAAAGTAAAAAAAGCGTTGTTGTTGATGTGGTCATAGCAGCCAAACATCTTTAAGTAGCAAACCGATTTTATATACTTAACAGTGTTTTTATCCCGAGTTTTTATCAACAAAGTATTACCTATAACGAAAGCCGTTGCAAATTATGACGATTATCCCGTTACGTTCTATAAAACTAAAAGTAAACTTTACCGAATTTCACTAGCACCAAAAAGAAACAATATGTTTATAAGGATTATTGCTGCAATTGACTCCTGATTCTGTTTCCAAATATGGTTCTGTCACGTATTACTGAAGTGGTACTGTAACTCCCTGCTGCTACTAAGTCGATTGACTAGGGCAACAAAAAAGAACTGCAAAAAACGTCGCTCTAAATCTGAAACTGAATCAGCCACCGAGATTGTCGGAAAGTGAGTTGGCAATGGTTGGTTACTAGGATGTTCTGAGCGACTTAGCTACTGAATTCTGGAAAGCAGTTTCATGTCTTGAATGAAAGCATAACGGAAAACTGAGTCAGATTACGTTACTGTCCTGTTTTTTGAAAATTACTTCACCGCTCATTTCATGACAACCTGCCACAGAATTTTGATTGATTTGTTCAGTCAATAAAAGTTTTATACTAATGTGAGTTTACCACTTGTCGCAAAATGAATGGTTGTTTTGGTAACAGTGCTTATACAAGTGAAGTTAATATTAATTTAAAGCTTTTTACCGATTTTTCCAGATCAAACCATTATGGCACAGAGTGGAAACGGAGCAGCATGTGAGAGTGATGTTACATCACTTGGTACCGGACAAGAGCTGAACTTTGATGATGACACACTGAAAGGTAAAGATTCTTACAACTGTTAATAGTGTATCACTAAAAGGCCTTTAACATACTAAACTAAGCACAAGTAAAATAAAATATACAGAAAAGACAAAAAACCGTCATTTGAAAACATTGAACATACGGAAGTGGTTAAAGAGTCAAAGTCGTTAAACATTATCTCTACTGAAGGTGGTTTTTTAACTTTTCATCTGGATTAGGCTTTTCCTAGAATTTGTGGTGGAGTTTACCACTTGTGACAAAATAAATGGTTGTTTTGGTACTAGTGCTTTATATACAAGTAAAGATAATGTCAGTTTACAGCTTTATACCGATTTTTCCAGATCAAACCATTATGGCACAGAGTGGAAACGGAGCAGCAAGTGAGGGTGATGTTACGTCACTTGGTCCTGTAAAAGAGCTGAACTTTGATGATGACAAACTGAAAGGTAAATACTCTTACAACTGTTAATAGTGTATCACCAATTAGCCTTTAACATAAAAATTTAACATGAGAAATTTATGGAGAAATGAAATAAAAGATACAGAAAGGAAAAAAACCGTCATTTGATACCATTCAACATACATAAAGACTTGAAGTCGTTAAACATTATCTCCACTGAAGGTGTTTTTTACTTTTTGTCTAGATTAAACTTTTTCTAAAATTTGTGGTGGACGAATTCCTTTATCTTGTGGATTCACCGTTACATATAGCCCTGCTTTAGCTCCCGCCAAGTATGATTCCTATTTTCCCGCCAACCCGAAAGATGCACACGCACCTCATAATGGTTTATTAGTGTGAGCTACAAATTTAATACATTTTTAGCATTTTTAACATCAGAAAGTGAGGAACGGTACGACCAAATTTGCATCTATTTCACAAGTCTGTGAGCAATGTCATGATCTAGTACAAACATTAACCATAAAGGACTGCAAAGGACCGCAAGACCTGATCAGCAAAAATGAAAAGTGAAAAGTAGACATATTAAATTCTGCAAGCAGAATACTGCAATGCTGACCGTACTACGTGAAAATTAACTCTGCAAGACATCAACACGACACCGAAAGAACTCAAAACAGAGCGAGATTGTAGCCATAGTCATGATCAACGCCATTTATGAGTTAACAAGTGACACCATTTGCCTAACCGGGGAATAATTATCCCCGTGGTATTTTTCGTTTTAATCTGTAGCAAGGAGACGAAGACGGACTCCCGGATGAACACACAAAAAAGTTGCACACGATAGTCCGTATTGTACTCTTATCTTTTGTACTCACAATTATAACTCGCCATTTTATTTTTTATACCATAGCAAGTTTCGTTCCCAAGGGTTATTACGGATTTTAACAGACGTGGATGACCAAATGGGTGCAAAAATCAAAAACCCAAAATTCCCTGGACCAAAAATTAACCCCCAAAAATCCTATACAGAACTATGCACCGACAAAGTTCAACTAAGAAAATACCTGTCAAATTTTCCTACCCCAAAAGAATTCCGGAATCGAAAATTTCAAACCCAACAAATCCTTCGATCATCGCCGTCACTTGAAATCGGCAGTACCTCCACTGGGTTTTCGTTGCACCCCAAGTTTCTTTATCGAAAGTTATGCTTATGACGTACTTCATAACTGTCAAACAGATTGTCGAAATCAAGGCTGAATCGGAGAGACCTACAAGTAAAAGGGAAACAACCACGAATGGAGAAAGAACCAAGTATTTTCTATTTTTTGGAAACCGAAATACACTCAACTGGAAAACGAAGCACCCTCAACCCTGGTGAAAGGGCCTGCAATCAACTACAACTGGTCAGTTAATTTGAAGCGTGACCATCCCCTTTGGGTATTTTCGTTGCCTCTGGATACTCTTACCCACAATGGGGTATTTGGAATCAATGTTTGCCTCGGGGAGGGGAGAGTATGGTAGTGTCTGACATTTTTAGCACCTAACAATGAGAAATTTTTTGGCATTGTGGTGTTTGGCAAATTTTCATGCGGTACTTCTGTAATTGTGGTCTCGAATTCTGATATTGTGGTACTTCTAAACATGTAGAATTTTTCTGTTATTGGCTCGGCGGTTTTTAACATGGTTTAAGTTGTCGAATTTGTCGATTTTTCTTCGCTGTGTTACTGAGTTGGGCATACCCCTAGCCGCTTCAATTTTAATTTTTTTAGCATGCATATACTTCTACTATAAGACCGCCCTCGATAGTGTGATATCGTGCCCAGTTGCGGTAGTTGAAAGGTTTTCTCTTCAGTGCCAAACAATATTCCCATGGTACTTTAATTTGTTATGTGGCTGAAGACCCTCGTTGAACCTATCAACTGAAACATTTAGAAAGGCTGCATTTATATTAATGGCTGCCGAAATCCTATGGTACAACCACAGCACCTTCACATAGTACCATTTATTATTATTAATATTATGATTATGATGATGTTGATGATATGATTGTGATAATTATTATTATTTGAAAAGGTTATTTTATTGTTAATCCAATCTTAAGTTTTTGTAGTTTTGAAAGTAAAAAAAGTGTTGTTGTTGATGTGGTCATAGCAGCCAAACATCTTTAAGTAGCAAACCGGATTTATATAATTAACAATGTTTTTATCACGAATTTTTATCAACAAAGTATTACCACTAACGAATTAAAGATGTTGCAAATTATGACGATCATCCCCTTAAGTTCTATAAGGCTAAAAGTGAACTTTACCGAGTTTCACTTGCACCAAAAAGAAACAATATGTTTATAAGGGTCATTCTAATGATAGCACAATTTGCTGCAATTGACATCTGATTCTGTTTTCAAATATGGTTTTTTCACGTGTTACTGAAGCTGCACTGTAAGACCTTGTTTACATGGAGTGGGGGACCCCGGTCTAGTGGGGTAGGTTTCCTTTGTTTTGTGTCCCCCAGAGCGTGAAAACAAAAGAAACCAACCCCACTAGACCGGGGTCCCCCACTCCATGTAAACAGGCCCTAACTCCCTGGTGCTACTAAGTCGATTGATTACGTAACAAAAAAAAAACTGAAAAAAACGTCGCTCTGAATCTGAAACTGACGGAATCAGCCACCGAGATTGTCGAAACGTGAGTTCACAATAATTGGTTACTAGGGTAGCCTGAGCGACTGGGCTGCTGAATTCTGGAAAGCAGTTACTAACATGTCTTGATTAAAAGCGCAATGGAAAACTGAATCAGTTTACGTGTACTGTCCTGTTGTTTGAAAATTACTTCACCGCGCATTTCATGAGTGCCTGCCACAGAATTTTGATTGATTTCTTCCGTCAAAAAACGTTTTAATGTGAGTTTAGCACTTGTGGCAAAATGGATGGTTGTTTTGCTAACAGTGCTTATACAAGTGAAGTTAAATAGAGAATAATAAATGGTCGCGCGGAGATATGGAATTTATCTTCGAGTGTTCACATCGATATCGAACGAGTGAGCGCATCGAACGAGTGAGATATCGAATGTGAACACGAGACGATAAATTCCATATCTCCAAGCGTCCATGTATTATTCTGTTTATTATATAAACAAGAATCAGCCATTCCATAAACCAAAACCATGCCATATAGTCGAGAACCCGACAAATGTAATTCATTGTTTAAAGTACTCCAGTGTAAACTCGGAGCTCTACAAAGTACAGTAAAAAATAAATACAAATATTAAAAATGTCCGGTATCTTGTTCAAAATATAATAGACAAGATAAATGGTTAAAATGTTCTCAAACTATCAAATATCAATAATTTCACATGTAAAAATATCGTATTTTTACGTGTGTTCAGATACCACATTTCTCGGTGGTAGGAATCCTTGTAAAACACTGCAGTTTACATAATAATATTAATTTAAAGCTTTTTACTGATTTTTCCAGATCAAACCATTATGGCACACAGTGGAAACGGAGCAGCATGGGAGAGTGATGTTACATCACTTGGTACCGGACAAGAGCTGAACTTTGATGATGACACACTAAAAGGTAAAGATTCTTACAACTGTTAATAGTGTATCACCAACAGGACTTTAACTTAGCAAAATAATGAGGAATGAAATAAAAGATACAGAAAAGGAAAAAAAACCGTCATTTGGTAACATTCAACATACGGAAGTGGTTAAAAAGTCAAAGTCGTTTAACGTTGTCTTAACTGAAGGTGGTTTTATCCTTTTATCTAGATAAGGCTTTTTCTAAAATTTGTGGTTGACGACTAATTAATTAATCTTGTGGATTCACCGTAATATACAGTGGTGCATTAGCTCTCGGCAAGTACAAGTACTATTTTCCCGTTAACCGAAGGATGAACACTGCATAACGCCTCAGTAGTGTTCTCTGGAGCTACAAATTTAATGCATTTCCAGCTTTTTAGCGTTTTTAACTTCAGAAAGTGAGGAACTGAACGACCAAATTTGCCACTATATCACAAATCTGTGACCAATGTCATGGTCAACGCCATTTATGAATTAACAAGTGACACCATTTGCCTAACCGGGAAGAAATGATCTCTCTCAGATATGTTGTTTAGTAATCTCTAGCAAAGAGACGAAGACGGAAATTAACACAAAAAAAGTTGCACACGGTTTTCCCGTACTGTACTCTTATCTTTTGTTTTCACAATTATAATTCACCATTTTATTTCTGTTTTCTTTATTTATTTTTTCTATCACTTTTCCCACCGAAAGGATCAGTTTATTGTTTTAATCGCCTCCTTGGAATAATCGCCCCCTATAAAGGAAAAATTTGAAATAATCGCGTCCCAAAACCCCACCCCCGCTCGTCCTTTGAGTTCTCGCTTCCTGGTCCTGTTTTTATCCCTCGTCCCGAATATCACTTCCAAAGATCTGCTAAATGCCGCATCCCGCCTGTTGCAGACCACCTAACCCCCCCCCCCCAGCCTTCTTTATTTGAGGGAAGGGGGTCTGTTACACGTTTTCCCAAGGCTTAGAGGTGAGTACGGAACAAGTGAGAACTGCGAAAGCTGGAGACCAGCGAGGAGAGCGCAAGCGGGGAGTGATGGGAAGGAATAAGAGAGAAAGCTTCATTTTTTCTCCCCTTCCCATCACAACTTTCGCCCCCTTTCCTTAACAATTAACTTAAATATCCCCCGAAAAGTGATCGCGAGCGACTGGGAACAATGCAGGGGAGGGGAGGGGAGGGGAGGGGGAGGCTGTACACGGGCTATATACACCATGAGGTTTAATGACATTTCAACCTGCTTCATTTTTAGCAATAGCTGAGGTGTACAAAACCGAAGGCAATGAAGCGTACTTACAGGAAGATTACAGCAACGCCGTTTACTTTTATACTAAGGGAGTTAAAGTAAACTGCAAGGACGAAGACCTAAAGGCGAAACTGTACAGCAACAGAGCTTATGCAAACCTTCGTTTAGGTAAGGCTACTTGTATTTTGAAAATAAAGAAATATTGCTTATTTTCTGATTGGTTAACCACTGATGTTGAATGTTTGCCAGTGTGATCACATGACTTGCTTTGGAATGGTCCGTCAGGGGGTTTCCAGATTTCACTGATCGTATTTGCTTTGAGTTTGCTTTGCTGCGTTTGCTGTGAGTAATTTTTGTTTGTTTGCATTTTTAACATTCATAGGAAACTACATTTACTCCCTGGTAGATGGACAAAACGCCAGGGACATTCGACCATTGGCAATCAAACCAATAATAGCAGGTAATTTTAGAAGAATTTTTTTTAACTATTTAGTATCTAAGAAACAGAATGGATCATAATTATACTAGTAATGTTGGCAAGCATTCTATTTACCCCCTTCTTGTGAAAACACCAAAAGTTCAAACGGATACAAAGTTCAAACGTTTAAATAATATGGAAGAAATTAAACTTTAGATTTGGAGTCCAGGGTGTAACAAAAGTCATCATCAAATGTTTGTTTGCTCACGGGCTCTTTTATAGTACAAAAATGGCAATTACGGTTATTCGTAGGCTACTTGCGACATAGTTCTTCATTCTCTTGAACATAGGCACGTATGACGTGCATGAACTATCATGGATGCTTCAGTGTAACTGTACCACGAATGTACCCATTTAAGCCTAATTTTAGAGTGGCTTATTGTTTGAAATTGTCCGGAAATTGGGTGTTGCTGTACATGAAAATGATAAAAGTAGCAAAATGACAGCTTAAAACGCGAGAGTTGCGCAAAACTGAGTCTATCCTTATCGCTATAGAAAACTTATCCTGAAGGATTATATGCTTCTGGTTCATCACACTGCGACAGACATACAAGGATACTAATACACTATAAGAACTCCGACAAATGAGAAATTTTGAGAAATGGCAGGTAGGAAGGGAGCAAGACATAAAAAATGTTTTCAACATGCTTTATTTTTACGATTTTAGGGGCGAAAGCGTTTGAGAAGTTAAAACTGTTTGATCTGGTGATCACTTGGTGTGATCAAGGATTAGCAGTATCCTTTTACTCTTTACATTCTTCCATAGCTGAAAAATGGTTTATTTTCGCAACTTGTTGTATACACTTCCGTTACGATTTGTCTACCATTTTTCTTGACTAACGGTTCAGTGCTTATTTGAGGGCAGTGCTTAGTTATCTAAACTACTTCCGTACGAATTACACAACAGTACGCGATATTTTTCTCTATTTCTTTGTTTGTTCAAAAGCGACCACAAAAGCACAGAAGAAGTGGAATTTCTAATAAAAGTTAGTTTTTAAAAAGTTTGTGTAGCAATAACAGTGTCAACAATATTAGTCTTGTTGGCGTTTCAATATTAACAAGAGAGGATTATCCCCTCTTTATAACCATGTTGCAGGGAAAATGCTGCGTACAGTCAAACCTATATATAACTGTCAGCCTTGAGAAATGGGTGACAGCTATATATATATATATATATAGCTCTTTGGCATTACAAAGCTTTTGCTTTCATGTCCAAATTGAGCACTCTACTAGGATGAGTCATTGCCGCTAGCAATTGCGCACGCTCGCTAGCTCGCTAGTTTGAGCACTCTGGCATGGCTTAGATGTACCACATGTGTGGGACATTTGGGGTGGCTTTTTAAGCTTAACCCCCATCCTAGACATCAGCACTGCACTGATGAGGCCCAGAAGGCCGAAACAGTACTGTCTGCAGTTAGATATAGCTCTTTGGCATTACAAAGCTTTTGCTTTCATGTCCAAATTGAGCACTCTACTAGGATGAGTCATTGCCGCTAGCAATTGCGCACGCTCGCTAGCTCGCTAGTTTGAGCACTCTGGCATGGCTTAGATGTACCACATGTGTGGCACATTTGGGGTGGCTTTTTAAGCTTAACCCCCACCCTAGACATCAGCACTGCACTGATGAGGCCCAGAAGGCCGAAACAGTACTGTCTGCAGTTATATATATATATATATATAGGTTTCCTTTAAATTCAACTGGATATTGAGTTCGTTCAACGCTTGTAGGTCCCCCATTCGATTGCCATGAAAAGGTTAACTGATTCGACGATTTTGCTAGCATTCATTTTTCCGTCTACTTTGGAGCACACATCTTGAATTTTATCCTTTATTTGATCGTAATCCAATTTGTGGACCGTTATAAACAGGTAAAAAATATAATCGAATTGTGCATTTTGGGAGTCTAAAGGGTGACCGCATCCGTTATAGAGAGGAGACCGTTTTAAACAGATCAACTTACAGAACATATATGGCAATATATTCGGAGAGTTGTCCAGTAGCCGTAGTATACTGGGTGACCTCTAAATACAGGGCTGCTATATGCAGGTTTGACCGTATTTTTTTGTTTTTAACTTTAGGCTACTCATAAGGGGTAACGCTCTTATAGTTATATTCAACCTTTGGCAAGTATACTTTACTTCAACTTAATTTCGAAATTACTATTTACACCTTAACAATTTGGAAGATCGACGAAGAAAACACCACGTTGCTTGAACTGAGGAAAAAAGCGACGAGTAGAAGAGCCGTGGAAAACGAGGTATTTTGTTTTATTTCTATAAAATAGCCTTTTGAATTGTTTTGATTAAGCGGTCGAAGTGACCTTTGATATTACTGATATTACATGGTTGATTCTAATAGAAGAGATTCAACAGCCGAATACCACTATTTGTTCCTTTTTGGCGGAGGTTAATTTACAGTGAATGGTTAGTTCGTCTTTCTTGCATCGAATTAATTTCGATTCAACCGATGATGGAGCTTGAAAAAGTCACATATGATATTTCAAGGGTTTGAACTATTGATCGAAGTTAATGTCTTTTTCACAGAATTGCCCAGTTAAAGTAAATATTAGTTCATAACCATCACAAAAAAAAACAGTGACCGAAAAATAATTTTCTTAAAGAAACTTTGGGCGCTTTCTCTTCAACCAAAATGTCCACTTTGAATTTTCGGCAACTTCCAGTAGCAAACGGAATAGTATTTTTCAAAACTTCCAAAACCGAGGGACAACCTCGCCAGGTATACCCAAATTTTCGAAAAATTTTTAACGGAAGATTTCTTTCCATTCATTTTTGCTCCCGGGATTTCCAGGTAGAATTTTTGGTTGAATGGTTCCCATTTCGGACTGATTCAACAGCTTCCGGTATTTCCAGAAACTTTTCCGGAAAATCTCTATACCATTTGCCGCTGTTTCCAAATTTTCGAAAGTTTTGGCTGAATGTAAAACGCCCTTTGATTCTCTGTACGATAAATTTTATAGCCGAGAAAATAAATGAACTTTTGGCTTACTTCGTGAGCCGCCAAAGTCAAGGCGGATTGGTCAAATATCAGCTCTTGTAGATTTATCCGCTTAAGAAATAAAGTTCATTGGTAATACTTCTATACTTGAGTATATATACTCTAGAAACTTGCTGTCCGAGCTATATTATGAGCTAATTTATTTCAAAGCCACAATCTGGCTCAAGCGAGTAATAGCGGGAGTTTGTATTGCTGGGGATTTGGCTGTGTTAGCAGGGGTCGTCCGAAAGGGGCGAGTTGATTGCCACAAAAAATCTTGCGGGCTATTTTCTTCCTCACAAAGGGTATAACTTTACATTAAAAACATCTTCTATACCATAACTTGCTTCAAAAGAGGGTTTGTTTTACATTTTTTTCTAGGCATGCCCAGGAAGTAAAGGCAAACATGGAAAACCCGAACAAACTTCCATAACAAATTGGTTGTACAGTAAGTACCTTGGAGAAAAAGCCTTTAAACGCGGTGATTTTAAAATAGCCCGGGATTACTTCGAGATGACCTTGAATGAAGCCAGAGAGATCGGTAATAAAAACGCAGAAAGAGTTAACCTTGGCAACCTTGGCCTCGCCTATCACCATCTGAGTGATTTCAAAAAAGCAATCGAGTTTTATCAGCTGGCTCTAAAAATCGCAAAAGATACTGGAAACAAAGATCAAGAAGGAACTATATATAACAACCTTGGCCTTGCCTATCAGTCTCTCAGTGAGTTCAAAAAAGCAATCGAGTTTTATCAGCTGGCTCTAAAAATCGCAAAAGATACTGGAAACAAAGATCAAGAAGGAACTATATATAACAACCTTGGCCTTGCCTATCAGTCTCTCAGTGAGTTCAAAAAAGCAATCGAGTTTTATCAGCTGGCTCTAAAAATCGCAAAAGATACTGGAAACAAAGATGGAGAAGGAACTATATATAACAACCTTGGCGGTGCCTATCAGTCTCTCAGTGAGTTCAAAAAAGCAATCGAGTTTTATCAGCTGGCTCTAAAAATCGCAAAAGATACTGGAAACAAAGATCACGAAGCAAGTACATATAACAACCTTGGCAGTGCCTATCAGTCTCTCAGTGAGTTCAAAAAAGCAATCGAGTTTTATCAGCTGGCTCTAAAAATCGCAAAAGATACTGGAAACAAAGATCACGAAGCAGGTACATATAACAACCTTGGCAGTGCCTATCAGTCTCTCAGTGAGTTCAAAAAAGCAATCGAGTTTTATCAACTGGCTCTAAAAATCGCAAAAGATACTGGAAACAAAGATCAAGAAGGAACTATATATAACAACCTTGGCAGTGCCTATAAGTCTCTCAGTGAGTTCAAAAAAGCAATCGAGTTTTATCAGGTGGCTCTAAAAATCGCAAAAGATACTGGAAACAAAGATCAAGAAGCAACTATATATAACAACCTTGGCCTCGCCTATCAGTCTCTCAGTGAGTTCAAAAAAGCAATCGAGTTTTATCAGCTGGCTCTAAAAATCGCAAAAGATACTGGAAACAAAGATCAAGAAGGAACTATATATAACAACCTTGGCAGTGCCTATAAGTCTCTCAGTGAGTTCAAAAAAGCAATCGAGTTTTATCAGCTGGCTCTAAAAATCGCAAAAGATACTGGAAACAAAGATCAAGAAGGAACTACATATAACAACCTTGGCAGTGCCTATGAGTCTCTCAGTGAGTTCAAAAACGCAATCGAGTTTTATCAGGTGGCTCTAAAAATCGCAAAAGATACTGGAAACAAAGATCAAGAAGGAACTACATATAACAACCTTGGCCTTGCCTATCAGTCTCTCAGTGAGTTCAAAAAAGCAATCGAGTTTTATCAGCTGGCTCTAACTATCGCAAAAGATACTGGAAACAAAGATCAAGAAGCAACTATATATAACAACCTTGGCGGTGCCTATCAGTCTCTCAGTGATTTCAACAAAGCAATCGAGTTTTATCAGCTAGCTCTACCTATCGCAAAAGATACCGGAAACAAAGATCAAGAAGCATCTGTATATAACAACCTTGGCCGTAACTATAAGTCTCTCAGCGATTTGAACAAAGCAATCGAGTTTTATCAGCTGGCTCTCAGAATCGCAAATAATACTGGAAACAAAGATCAAGAAGGAACTACATATAACAACCTTGGCAGTGCCTATGAGTCTCTCAGTGAGTTCAAAAACGCAATCGAGTTTTATCAGGTGGCTCTAAAAATCGCAAAAGATACTGGAAACAAAGATCAAGAAGGAACTACATATAACAACCTTGGCAGTGCCTATGAGTCTCTCAGTGAGTTCAAAAAAGCAATCGAGTTTTATCAGGTGGCTCTAAAAATCGCAAAAGATACTGGAAACAAAGATGGAGAAGGAACTAGATATAACAACCTTGGCAGTGCCTATAAGTCTCTCAGTGAGTTCAAAAAAGCAATCGAGTTTTATCAGCTGGCTCTAAAAATCGCAAAAGATACTGGAAACAAAGATGCAGAAAGAGCTATATATAGCAACCTTATCAGTGCCTATCAGTCTCTCAGTGAGTTCAAAAAAGCAATCGAGTTTTATCAGCTGGCTCTAAAAATCGCAAAAGATACTGGAAACAAAGATCAAGAAGGAACTACATATAACAACCTTGGCAGTGCCTATCAGTCTCTCAGTGAGTTCAAAAAAGCAATCGAGTTTTATCAGCTGGCTCTAAAAATCGCAAAAGATACTGGAAACAAAGATCAAGAAGCAACTACATATAACAACCTTGGCAGTGCCTATGAGTCTCTCAGTGATTTCAAAAAAGCAATCGAGTTTTATCAGCTGGCTCTAAAAATCGCAAAAGATACTGGAAACAAAGATGGAGAAGGAACTAGATATAACAACCTTGGCAGTGCCTATAAGTCTCTCAGTGAGTTCAAAAAAGCAATCGAGTTTTATCAGCTGGCTCTAAAAATCGCAAAAGATACTGGAAACAAAGATGGAGAAGGAACTAGATATAACAACCTTGGCAGTGCCTATCAGTCTCTCAGTGAGTTCAAAAAAGCAATCGAGTTTTATCAACTGGCTCTAAAAATCGCAAAAGATACTGGAAACAAAGATCAAGAAGGAACTATATATAACAACCTTGGCAGTGCCTATCAGTCTCTCAGTGAGTTCAAAAAAGCAATCGAGTTTTATCAACTGGCTCTAAAAATCGCAAAAGATACTGGAAACAAAGATGGAGAAGGAACTATATATAACAACCTTGGCAGTGCCTATCAGTCTCTCAGTGAGTTCAAAAAAGCAATCGAGTTTTATCAGCTGGCTCTAAAAATCGCAAAAGATACTGGAAACAAAGATGGAGAAGGAAGTATTTATAACAACCTTGGCGTCGCCTATAATTCTGTTAGTGATTTCCAAAAAGCAATGGAGTTTAATCAGCTGGCTCTAAGAATCGCAAAATATACTGAAAACAAATATCAAGCAGCAGCTGTATATAACAACCTTGGCGTCGTCAATCAGTCTCTCGGTAATTTTAATAAAGCGATCGAGCTTTATGAGCTGAGTCTAAGAACCCAAAAAGATATTGGGAAAAAAAGTGGAGTAGGACCTACATATATAAACCTCGGCGATGTCTATGGGCGTCTCGGTAATTCCAAAAGAGCAATGGAATTTTATCAGCTAGCCACAAGTATAGCAAAGGAGACTGGAAACAAAGATGATGAACAATGCGGATATGATAGACTTGCTCAAGTTCTTTGGTGTGTTGAGGAGTACTCTAAAGCCGAGGAGTGTTTTAAATCCTGTATTGAACTGGTAGAGGAAATGAGAGTCCTTCTTGAAGGAAACGACGAGTGGAAAATCAGCTTTCGGAATGAACGTGATTGCGTTAGTCGTTTAGTGAGACTACAGTTACAACAACGCACTGAACGTAAGACACTCGAGGCGCTTTTAACAGCTGAGAGGGGACGAGCAGAAGCTCTTATGGACCTCTTGGAATCGCAATATGGTGTCAGGAAATCGATTCGTTCACAGCCGAAACAGCAGATGGAACTTATCATTTCAAACCATATTTCGTCACCCACGTTATTTCTAATGAATGATACCCAGTCAGTGAATATCTGGATGCTGTTAAAGTGGGGAAAGCTTTGTAACTTTGTGCAACAGGAAGTTAGCAGTGATGACTTGACATCAATGACTTACCAAACATACAAACAGATTGGTGTGAAGAAAGGCCTGTGGAAAAAGATTCGCCCCCAGCTGCAGAGAGAGATCGAAGACCAGGGTGGTGCTTTAAAAGTATTATACGACATATTCATCGCTCCAATTTCACACTCGATAGGTGACGAACTCGTCATTGTCCCTGACGGTTCATCGTTCTTGATTCCTTATGCTGCCCTCGTGGACCAAACCTCCAGGTATTTAAATGAAACGTGTAGAATTAGATTGATTCCATCACTGACAAGCTTATGGCTGCTGGCAGAATGTCCGGAAGACCGCCATAGTTCATCCGAGGCTCTACTTGTTGGCAACCCGTGGGTGGAAACTGCACGCATCAAAGGCTGCAAACCGTTTCCGCAGCTTCCAGGTGCTGAGGAAGAGGTAAAAATGATTGGGCAAATTCTAAACATCCAGCCTCTCACCGGAAAGAAAGCTACAAAAGATCGGGTTTTAAGCCGGCTCAACTCAGTTTCGTTAGTGCACATAGCAGCTCATGGTCGTACAGAAACCGGAGAAATCATTTTGTCTCCTAATTTTCCTAGTAGTGACAAAAGACCTAAAGAGAAAGACTTTCTTTTGACGATGGCAGATGTGTTGGATGCAAAAGTGCACGCCAAGCTTGTTGTCTTAAGCTGTTGCAACAGTGGGCGAGGAAAGATCAAAGTCGAAGGCGTGGTTGGTATTGCACGTGCCTTTTTAGGAGCGGGTGCGCGTTCTGTTATTGCGACCCTGTGGGCGATTGACGATGAAGCCACTCTTGCGTTTATGAGACACTTTTACGATCATTTAGTAGCAGGGCAAAGTGCAAGTAAATCGCTTCATCAGGCCATGAAAAGGATGCGGGACTCGGAAAAATTCAATGACGTGAAGCACTGGGCTCCATTCGTGCTGATCGGTGATGACGTGACATTGAATTTTGGCCAATGAAAGGTGAGGTCCTCACTGTAAGATAAGATAGAAAAATAATCCCATTTTCGTGAAATTGAGAAATGAAAGGGCTTTTTTATCTTTGGCTCCGCTCTTAGATTTCTAGCACCTGATTGTTTGGATACCGGGAAGCCTTTTACTTTCCGCAAAGTACCATTCAGAAACAAACAACACGACAGAAAGTAGTCATTTAATCCGCAGATCAGCAGAATAAGAATAACACTTTGTACAACAGATGTAATAAACAACAAAATGGGAAACGAAGATGTAGCTTCATTTGAATTTTCACACCTGAGTCTTTCATTCCAAGGTTAAAAAAGAATCAATAAAATACAAAAAATACAGTTAGTAAATCAAGCTCAAGAGACTTCATCTCTAAGCCGTTAACTTTTCAGAGTCTATCACCATTACTGTCTTCACTTGTTTTCGACCACTAATAAGCATTTCTTTCCATGTTAAGTTAAAGAATTATTCTCAGTATGAAGAATTTATGCACCTGCAAGAAGAAAGAGTATGTGAGCAGGGCAAATTCCCGCCTCCTGTGGGGTACTCCTCTAAGAAAATTTGGCAAACTGCTTTTTCTTTATAAGACTTAAACCGCTTCTCTCAAAAGTCAAATGAATAAAAACATACCCAATTCCAGGCCTTTCTTCCAGGGAGCACAAATTTTAGGCTCACCTGAGGAAGGACATTTTGTTAAATCAATTTACAATAAAAAATGATGACATCAATAATCGAAAGGTTTAAAACAAGAGAAAAGAAAAGAGATTAAAATGAGGAAAAATGAAAAACAACTTAGCCTGAACGAGAAAGTATTAATTAAAACTTACTCCAAATAACAAACAACTTAACATTGAATTCCCTATTTCTAGTATTAAAGCGCCAAAGAACAAGGAATGAAAATTACGGTCCCTGGAATCTGAGACAGATAGAATCGAAGTTGTCACTGGCTTACCCAAAAGAACTCATATCGCTTCTATTAGGGCCTGTTTACATGGAGGTAGGGGACCCCAGATAGGTGACGTAACCCGCTTAGGTGGGATTAAATATTAACCCTCCTTTACATGCAATCTTACAACCCCGCCGTACCAGGGTGCACTTCCTCAAGATTATTGAATTGGTCGCTATGCACGTAAACAATACAAATACTGGCAAACCTCGCCTGTTGGTGATTAATGCTCTTCTACAATCACTTGCTGCTCTTGCTGCAACCTTTGGTGCCGTGGCTTTGTATTGTTACCTTTAACGATTATGCAAAGCCAGCGCCAAAGTGAATTTTGTGAGAACTTGATGTATCACGAATCCGACCCCGGCTAGGCGGGTTACCCCACCTTGAGACGTTTACATGGCAAAATGTGACACCGGCTGGGAGGGTTACCCGGTCTGGCAGACCGGGCTAACCGCCTTGGCGGGTCGCCCCACTTATCATGTAAACGCAATCAAATTAAAATGAGAGGTTATATAGACAGGCGGGTTACCCCAGCAAAGCGGGTTACCTCACTTACCTGGGGTCCCCACCTCCATCTAAACAGGACCTTAGTTCAGCGACAGAATCACAATACAACTATTTGTTTCAAACCTCTTCAAATTAAATCATTGGAGGTGCAATGAGAGGCAGTAAAACTCATTACGTAACTAAAACGTTATAACTGAGAACTTGTAAAGACACCTAAAAGAAAAATAAATGAAACCTTTCAGCAAACGTTAAAGTTCAGTGAAACTCGAAGTATGGTACGTCAGTGTATACAATTTAACCTCTTCAAAGTCTTCAGTACAACTCAAATTAAGTGCGTAGAAATTAACCCCAAGACTGCAGCATCAACATCAAATTACCATTATTCGTCAATTTCAGACATATTCAAATAGAGGCGCAACACGCTCTGTAGCGGTAAGAGTTGTGAAAATCCGGCAATATACTTTACGAACTGTCATATACATAAACCTTGGACTTTTCACTGAAAACAACAGGAAATGGACTTTTTAACTAAAGGTATGTACAAAACAGACCACCATCCATCATTAGAATTTATGTACCTGCGAATCTCACCGACAAAAGCTAAAGAGAAATGAGAACTATAAAACGCTGTCAAGGATACTGAGATGTTGAACGAGAGGAGATTGGACACAAGTAATAACACCAATGCACGTAATTATGATGTAACAATATTTTCATGAAAATTAAATGTGTTTCCCAAAGGCAAATGGTTTGTTTAACTCCTCCGACAACTCCGCTGGTAGGCCAAAACTTAACAATAAAATTAGACTCAGTAAACACAATTAGCCCTTTGCAGAAAACGGTCATATGGGACCAAAAAGGCAAGCGCGCAATGTAGCAAGAAAAACAAAGATATTACATCAATACGCTTAAATCCCTCCCAAGGTCCACTACGCTTTTTGCCACCCGGCGGGTGTGTTTTTTCTACGACGAATCTCACCGGTTCGAGCTGCTTTTCGAGAAAATTCTCAACTCGGCCGTACACTGGATCGCGAGCGAATGGTGCGACTACAACTGAGTTTAAACTTCCAAGAAGAGGCAAGTATTTCAAGTCCAAAACATCCTATTACCCTAATTCGGCCTCCATTTTTTCAATTCAACGACTTCTGCTTTCTGGCGTCATTGAACTTAATCCAGGGATGGCAACGAATAATTGTAATAAATCAAGCAGACCACGAGGACGACGCGAAACTACTGGTAACATCAAGATCGCACATTTGAATATTCGTTCGCTTAAGAACCGATTATTTTTGAACATCTTATTCTGGCCAAGGAAACTGTCATTTCTAACAAAATCGACATTTTTACAATCTCTGAGTCATGGCTTGATAGCTCTGTTTCCGATGCTGAAGTTGAATTTCCTGGGTACATCTTACATCGACTCGACCGCGTAAACAAACATGGAGGAGGTGGCAAGAATATCGGGCTGAACGGTTATCTGACATTTCCTACATTTCTGAGTCTGGCTTGCATCAGCTTTGCCTAAAAATTCAAGTACGTAATTTCAAATCGTTTCTAGTCTGCACGGCTTACAGACCACCTAACACACACTTGGATTGCTTTGATTCCGACTTTAGCAACACATTAGTTCAGCGCTGTCGATGAACTTGCCCGTTTTCATCTTGGGTGATCTTAACTGTAATTTATTGTCTTTGCAAGACCCACCGGCACAAACCCTCGTGAGTTTTTGCTCTTCTTTCAATTTATCGCAAGTTATCAGTCACCCAACGAGGATTACAGAGTCTACGGAATCACTGATTGATGTCGCCTTGGTCTCAAATGCTAATTTAGTGAAGGAAGCAAAAGTTTCTCCTTCCTCAATTAGCGACCATGAACTAATACTTGTTGTTTTGAACATGAAAAAGAGCCGTCCCAAACCGACATACATTCTAACTAGGAGCTACAAGAACTATAAACCGGAAGTATTTACCCGTGACCTTTCAGAGGTCCCCTGGCATATAATCGAAACGTTTGAGGATGTCGACGACTGCCTCTATGCCTTTCACCAGCTTTTTGAGCAAATCTTAGATCGACACGCACCTGTCAAAAAGGTCAAAATTCGTAACCGTCCCAACCCATTTATTACGCCTGAAATACGCGAGTTAATGAGAACAAGAGACAAATGGAAGAAACTGGCGAATAGATCTAACGACCCTCTTGCCTGGGCGGGATTCAGGAACTATAGACGAGAGGTTAAACGTGAAATCAGAATAGCCGAAAGAGAGTTTGTTCGGGATCAGATCGCAAATAACCAACATAATTCTTCGGGTAACTTGTGGAAAACCATAAGATCCATCCTTCCTAGGAAATCGTCAAGTCGTTTGGTATATAATCAGGATGAGGAATCTGTTGCAAACTCCTTTAATGAATTTTTTACCTCAGTTGGCCGAACCACTGTTGACAAAATCAAAGCACTTGCCTCTGAATGTAATTACGATCTTACGAAAACAAACTTTGTCCCTACGCACTATCCATTGTCTGAACAATTTTCATTCCATTCTGTTAATTGTAAGCAAGTTGAACAGATCATCGCATTGTTACCATCAAACAAAGCACCGGGCTTTGACAAAATTTCTTCACGTGTAATCAAGGATGGACTGTCAGTTATTTTGTCGCCGATTACTCACGTCATCAATACCTCTCTTACAAATGGCGTTTTCCCTGGAGGATGGAAACAAGCAGAAGTAACGCCTATTCCAAAGGAGGGAGATCATGAACAACCTTGTAATAACAGACCGATCTCGTTATTACCAGTATTGTCAAAGGTGTGTGAAAGAATTGCGTTGAACCAGCTGACGGCATATTTAACAACAAACAACCGTCTTTCTGCGAAACAAAGTGGAAATAAGAAATTTTATTCCACAGAAACGGCACTTATCCGCTCCACAGATGCCATTTTGACTGGCATGGATAAGCAGGAACTCTCTGCTATGGTTTTGTTGGACATGAGTAAGGCATTTGACAGTATAAATCATGATATTCTCCTTTTAAAACTACAACATCTCGGTATTTCTAAATACGCTCTCGCGTGGTTTACTAGCTACCTGACCTACAAGACACCAAGTCGTGCGTATTAACTCGACCCTCTCGAATTCGTTGCGTTTAAATAGTGGTGTCCCTCAAGGAAGCATTCTTGGGCCGCTTCTTTTTAGTATTTACATTAACGACTTACCTTCTGTTCCTAGAAACTGTTTAACGCAATGTTACGTAGATGACACTAAACTTCAGATTTCTTTTAAGATGCGTGATTGTCCGACTGCTATGAACGATCTAAATAGCGACCTTCTTTTAATACGTAATTGGTGTTTTAACAATTTTCTACTTTTAAATCCTGACAAAACAAAACTCGTAGTCTTTGGAAGCCGACAACTACTTGCCAAACTCCCCGACTTCAAAATATCTCTTCTAGGAAAAGATCTCGCTCTTACATCTTCGGCCAAAGATCTTGGGGTTGTTTTAGATCCGCAACTAACGTTTGATGACCATGTTCTAAAAGCTACGTCAT